TTGCCTGAGCTTGAGCATCTCTTTATGTAATTACTGGCATTATACGCCTCCTTTTCTATGAAATGACTGTGCCTGCTCTTCTGTCTTTGCCCATTCTTTTGTTGTGCATTTTCTTCCTGATTTGTAGGCGTTTTTATGTATTCTGATGCTGGTGCTTCACCAGTTCCATGCATTACAAATATCTTCTTCCAGCTTGTGGATTGTCTTCATTCTCTGAAGTCTCTACTGATGGACAGAAATTTTAATGTAATGTAGTCATACTAATTGACCTTTTTTTATTGCTTAACACTTTTCATATATTCATAAATTCTTTCCTACTTCAAGCTCAGAAAGATATTCACTTATATTTTCTTTTCAAGTTTTCAGAGTTTGCTTTTGACATTTCAGTTCTTCATCCATCTGGAGTTGATTTTTCAGCATGGTGTGACTAAGAGTCCAATTTCATTTTTTTCCTATGGATAAACAATTTTTCCAACTTTTCCTTTTCCACATTCTCTGTCATGCTGTCTCTGTCAAAAATCAAAGTTTCACAGATGCGAAAGTCTGTTTCTAGATTCTTCTACCATTGGTCAGTTTGTTGATCTCTGTACCATTACTACACCATCTTAATTATTCTGGCTTTCCAATAAGCTTTTATAGCTAACAAGGCATGTCACCTTCATTATTCTTCTTCAGAAATGTCTGGGCAGTTGTTGGACCATTTGTTCTTCTGTTTAACTTTTGGAGTTAACCTTTCCAGTTCCACAGAATAAATCAGGGTATCATTTCTGTACAGCAGAGATACCCTCTTTGTTGTACAGCTGTTTCAGTAAATGTGTATAGTCATGTAACCACCACCACAGTGATGATACAGGATGGCTCCATCACCCCCATAATTCCTCATCCCCTTTGTGGTTGACCTCTTCCCCCAGTCCCTGACTAACCCTGCTCTGTTTTCTGTTGAGATTTTTTTTTAATTCCTTTTTAAATTTTTTCAATGTGTCATTAAAATGTAGAATTTGTTTTTACTAGAATTGCATTAAATATATAGATCAGTTTAGGAAGGCATCTGTATCTTAAGTCATCTTGTCCATAATCATCATCTATCAAGTTAGTTGGAGAGACTTTGCCTGACAATAATGGAAACTTCTTAAGTTTTAGGGGAAAAAAAATCTATACATTTTAAGTAATTCTTTAAAACTCCTAGTAAAGGACACATTTTAGAAGCCAAGTTCCAGTCTCATTAAACACACAAATACATACAAAAATGTGGCAGAGGGCAGCCCTGGTGGCTCAGCGGTTTAGCGCTGCCTTCAGCCCAGGGCGTAATCCTGGAGACCTGGGATCAAGTGCCACGTTGGGCTCCCTGCATGGAGCCTGCTCCTCCCTCTGCCTGTGTCTCTGCCTCTCTCTGTTTCTCATGAATAAATAAATAAAATCTTTAAAAAAAAATGTGGCAGACATGTGGCAGTAATATATATATATATATATATATATATATATATATATATACACACACACATATATATATGTGTGTGTGTGTGTGTGTGTGTGTGTGTATATGTATGTATATATCATAACCAAGACACAATGTGTTGTGTCTTGGTTCCAAACTGGCTTTGTGGCCTACCTACAAGACTTCCAGCAAGCAGCCTAACTTCTGATCTCAGTAACTATATCTGTTTGGTGACTAGGGCATCCCTTCCTCACAGGGCCCTTGTGAAGATTAAATGCTGTTACAGGTGCAGGGTGTCAGGAGATGAGCAGATCTGGTGTAGGGACCCTGTGAGTGGGTGAGCCTATGTAAGGGGAGCTGCCCTCACTCACCTACTACCAGGAGGCAGGGAGGGCTGTCGGCATGTGCTCTTCCCTAGAGGCTCTAACCAAGTGGCACGATCGAAAGATGGCCTTGAATCATTTCCCTGACAAATTTGGAAAAGGCTAGTGTTACCAAGCAGCCTGCTACATGCTGCCTCTGACAGGCGAGCTGGAATCACTGGAGGACACAGCTGACAGCCAATTCATTTTGCTGATTCATCCATTCGAGGAGGGATGGCTTGGAGCCAGAGCTTGGCTTCCAGATTAAAGGCTGAGAGCTCCAGAGCTGCTGGGACGTGAAGGAATGCTGGTAAATGACTGCCATGTGAAGGCCAGCGGTGAAAAGTGGGTTGTTATTTGTTTCCCCTTTTAAGTGATCCTAATTCCACATGTGCTCGGATGAATTCCCCACCGTGGTTAGGGAGTTGTTTGTAACGTTTGTCCATGGGGCTGTGAGCTCAATTATTGGAAAAAACCGGATACTGTTAAATAGATCATCTTGGCTCCTTTATGACCCTATCATCACCTTTGCTTTCATGGGGAATATTGACTCAAGCCTTCTCTTTTACTTGGGAGTCCAAGTGAAACTCGAGAGTGGGATTATTGCAGATGCCATCCCTTTGGGACCTGCTTGCAGAATAAACCTGCCGGAATAAGGAATGGGACTTAACAAGGAAAATCCAGGAGATGCATATTTGCCAACAATCAGGACCAAATAATGATGGTAGAGTCTGTGGGTTCTCATTATGGATCTCACTAATAGCCTAACCTGTATTAGTAAGATAGTCTTAGGCTTACAGAGAGATCACCCTGCCATGCATTTTGCATGTGACAGGATAAGCTTAAGGGAGTGGAAATTTTGTTTTGACTTACCAAATATCTAACAAGTTCCTGGGACAGTGAACATTTGCCAGGTGGAAGCATGGATGGTTGGATGGTTGGTTTGTTGGATATTTGAATAGCCGGGTAGTTAAATGAACAGAAAAAGTCAGAAATGTGGACCATTAAAAGCAGGAAAAATAGCTGTCCCAAGGAATAAGACTTTGAAGAAAGGATCCTATTTCCGTGGTTCTGTGCTAGGAGTGACTTTGGTCAGTCACACATCTTCAGGACCGGATGCTTTTTCTGTTTATCTCCTTGGGAATGAGTCAGAGCACGCTGCTTTGAGCTCACATTTCAGTAACTCATTCTCCTTCTTTAGGAGACTTTGTATAATAGGGAACTTCTGTAATATCCTGGGCTTCTCCTTCCTTTTTTTTTCTCTTTAACTTTAGAGCGGACATTTGAAAAGTTCTATAAACATCATAGTAAAAATTTGTAGTTTTTAAAGAGTAGTGTTTTTTTCCTGTTTTGTGGTGGTGGTTGTTATGTCTTGCTCCTTAGATGCTAAACATTTAGGTTTAGGGCATGACATTCTGTCAATCACAGTTGTGCTTAGAAGTTTCAGGTAAATCCAGTCCACTTGAAGTGAAGATGAAAAGTGTCAGGTGTCGGATATGTGCAGCATCTGCCTCTCATACAATTGTCTTTCCTTCTGTTTCAAGGTCTTTAATGTACTAGAGTCCCTCGTCTGGTTCTCACGTGCTGAAGGGCCGCATACCCGTCACCACTCTCTTCTGCCATGTGTTCATTCACACAGTATTTAGTGAGAATGACTCTGTACCAAGAACTTTGCTAGGAAGGCACCTGGGTGGCTTATTCAGTTAAGGGTCTGCCTTGGGCTCAGGTCATGATCCCAGGGTCCTGGGATTGGGTCCTGCATCTCCCTCTCCCTCTCCTCCCTGTTTGTGACCTCTCTCTCTCTCTCTTTCTCTCTCTCTCTCTCTCTTTCTCTCAAATAAATAAAATCTTAAAAAAAAAAAAAAGTGGGGGGGGGGCAGCCCGGGTGGCTCAGTAGTTTGGCGCCCGCCTTCAGCCCAGGGTGTGATCTTCGAGACCTGGGATCGGGTCCCATATTGGGCTCTCTGCATGGAGCCTGCTTCTCCCTCTGCCTGCCTCTCTCTCTCTCTCTCTCTCTCGCTCTCTCTCTCTCTCTCTCTCTGTGTCTCTCATGAATAAATAAATAAAATCTTTAAAAAATCTTATAAAAAAAAGAACTTTGCTAGGAGTGGATACATAGACTCTGTTTCAGACATCATGGTGCGTTTGCAGCTGCCCGGGTACCAAGTCTGCTCCTAATAGTCCTGACTGGCGTGGCCAGGCTCTCACTTTCTCACCGCCAGTTTGGGTAGTAACCATTGGTAGTGCCGGCGGGCTAGGAGAGTATATGCTCAGACCACAGGAGCCAGAACCAGCACGTGGCTGCCCATCTGCCACCAGGTCTTGCATAAGCCCTCGCTCCCACGCTCCCAGCACGTTCTGTCCACCAGCCTCAGAGGAGCAGGCAGTAAAGACTATAAGGAAACTGACCTGGCCTTAGTGAAATGTTAACACCAGGGAGGGAATAAGCTCCAGCTTTCAAGTGCTCCTGCCAGCCAGAGGCACATTACAGAGAATTAGCAGTCTTTAAAAGCGGAAGGAGAAGAGGCATGTCTCAAGTATTGTGGAGTTATCTTGAATTTGCAGGGTTCAAAGCGAGGTGCAGAGTGACAAGAAAGGCCCTGTCCTTAGGGTTGGTGCAGCCTGGTTTGCATCCCAGCACTGCCACTGATCCAACGGTGCGGCCCATGGCACGTGCCTCCGCTTTTCTCCTGAGTAGAGGCAGTTCCTCCTTTGCAGGTGGAGGAGTTGTGAGATGAGATGTCACATATGCGAAAGCCCAGGGCACATATGGTAGATCCTCAGTATGTGACACGGTGGTCAGCTCAGCTGTCAGTATTGCTTTGGTTTTCATTTGTAACAGGGTTCACAGTTTTCCCTTGTGGTTTTTATTTTTTTTTCCTCTTCTTACACTGAAAATGAGTAATTTTCAAGCAGTAATGTTTCCTGCAAATACATTTCATTTACCATCATTATGGTTCTTTATAGTTTACAGAGCACTTCAGGCCATTGGGAAGACTAGGGCACACTCCAGATGAGAACACTGAGCTTTGGAGAGCCCATGGGACGTTCCCAAGGCTGCCTGGCTTCTCAATGGCAGAGCTGGGGGTTAGAACTCAAGACTCAAATTTCTGGTTTCTTTGACTATCTCAGGCCACCTTTCAAAAGTGACATTTTGGATGAGGCCAGACTTTTTTATATGGGTTTTTTTCTTTTTCTTTTAGCTGTCAATACCAGCAAATATGCAGAAAGCTATCGGATCCAGACCTATGCCCAATATGTGGGGAAAAAACGTGAGGAGAAGCAGATCAAGAGAAAGTGGACAGAAGATACTTGGCAGGAGGTTGAGAGAAAACGGTTAAACACTCAGTGCATATCCTATGCTCTGCAGAATCACTACTACCACACCAACAGGTAAGAGTTCTCGGCTGTTGATTTAAGAGGGCAGAGTTGTTCTAGCAGTAGCTTTTCTTCCTGGTTTTCACAGGATTGTAAGTCATAAATCTGACTTTCGAGAAAGTCTTTTTTTTCCCCTAACTTTCCACATAACGTCAGAAGTTACTGCTCCCCTAATTCCTTCTGTGCCATGTAGGCCTGCAGCTCTTGCAGTTAACAATCTCACAAAACTCCGCTGAGGCAGGCAGGATCCATGTCATTCCCATTTCAGGGGTGTGGAAGCAGAGGCACTGTGACCCACCCACCAGTTCAGGGAGGGAGCCAGGATCAGAGCTGAACTTGAATCAGAGGGTCTGATTCACCCTCCCTCTCCTCCTCCCCAGTCCACCGTGATGCTCCTGCCTGGCCTTCTGACCTCGTTTCAGATCCCATGGAGACACTGAACCACATGCCTGCTACAGAAAGAAAACTTGATGTACTTGCCCTCATTACCCATAATTCTTCAGAAGATACGTAGTGGTCACATATACCTTTGTGAGGCAAAAAGTGGGTATAGAAAACAGGGAAAAGTTCATTATAGAAAATGATAAAGATGAGAAAAGTGTGAGCTAACAGAAGAAAATATTAGCCATAGTCCCATCACTTGGAAGCAATCTGGGTGCTAATATTTTGGATTGCCCTCTATGCTTTTTAAAAAAATATTTATTTATTTAAAGATTTTATTTATTTACTTGACAGAGAGAGAGAGAACACAAGCAGGCAGAGTGGCAGGCAGAGGAAGAAGCAGACTCCCTGCTGAGCAGGAGCCCAGTGCAGGGCTTGATCCCAGGACTCTGGGATTGTGACCTGAGCTGAAGGCAGACACTTAACTGCCACTCTCTATGCTTTTTAAATGGCTTTTTAGAGATTTTTTAAAAAATTGAGATATAGGGGTGCCTATGTGGCTCAGTCACATAAGCTTCTGACTCTGGATCTCAGCTAGGGGCTTAATCTCAAGGTCATGGGTTCGGGCCTCATGTTGGGCTCTGTGCTAGGTGTGAAGCCTTCTTAAAAAACAATTGAGACATAATTAATATATGATAAAATGAACAGATCTATAAAACTTTAGTTCAGAGTCTTAAGAGTTATATACAGCAAGGTTTCCACAACCTAAAGCAAGGCATAGAACATTTCCGTCTCCTCATAAAAAGTCCCCGAGTCCCTTTATAAGCAACCCCAAGCCCCACTGCCCTAAGTGTCCCTATCTTGTATCTGTGAGTAGGCATTAATTTTGATTATTTTTAGAATTTATAAAAAATGGAATCATATTGTATTATGTTTGACTTCTTTCACTTAACATTAACTTTTTTAAAGATTTTATTTACTTTAGAAAGAGTGTGTGAGTTGGGGGAGGAACAGAGGGGGAGAGAGAGAAAGGGGAAGAATCTTAAGCAGACTCCATGCTTAGCATGGAGCTGGACATGGGGCTCAGTCTCACAACCCTGAGATCATGACCTGAGCTGAAACCAAGAGTTGGACGCTCAGTCAACTGAGCCCTACCCAAGCACCCCTCACTTAACATGTTTTGGAAATTCACCCTGGATATTGTGGTATCAGGAGTTTATTATTTCATTGTTCAGTAGTACTCCACTGTATGAATATACAGCATTTACCTCCTCTCCTGTTGGTGGATATTTGGTTTGTTTCTGGTTTGAGACTATTATAAATAAGGTTGCTATGAACATTTCTATAAAAAATTTCTTGTGGCCATAGGTTTTCATTTCTCTTGAGTCAGTACCTAAGAGTAACATTGTTGGTTCTCAGGATAAGCGTGTGTGTGCTAACCTTTATAAGAACAACCAAATAGTTCTCCAAACTAGGTGTACCATTTTATATCCCACAAGTATTGTGTGAGTGTTCTGGTCGCTCTACCTCCTTGCCAACATACAGTGCTGTTGTCAGCCTTGTATTTCAGTCATTCCAGAGGGTACTACGTTGGATATTACATTGTGATCTTAATTTGCATTTCTCTGGTGACTAATGATGTTGACCACCTTTTGATGTGCTGGTTGGCCATTCAGGTATCTTCGTTTAGAGGTGGTTATGTAAGCCTCTTGCCCATTTTCTAGTTGTGTTTTTGTCTTTTTTACTGTTGATCGGTGGGAGTTCTTTTATGTATTCTGGAGATACATCCTTTGTTAGATAGATGAGTGTGCTGCAAATGTGTTTTTTGAGTCTGGGGTTGCATATTCATCTTGTTAGTGATTTTGATGAGCAGATATTTTTAATTTTGATGAAGTCATGTTTATGATTTTTTCTTTTATGATTAAATCTTTGCCTGTCCTAAGGTTTCACCAGTTTTCTTCCAGAAGGTTTATGGTTTTAGTTTTTCCATTTAAATCATGACCCATTTCAAATGAATTTTGTATGTGGAATGAGATAAGAGTCACGATTTAGTTTTTTTTAATATGGATATCCACTTGTTCTAGCAACGTTTGTGAAAAAGACTTCTCATTCCTTATTGGATTGACTTGGCATTTCTGTCAAAAATAAATTGACCATGTATGTCTAGGTCTATTTCTAGAATGTTCTGTTCCAATCATTTTTATGCCTGTTCTTGTGCCAATATAACACTTTATTATTTCTGTGGCTTTATAGTAAGTCTTAAAATCAGGTAGCATAAACCCTCCAACATTATTATTCTTTCTCAGATTGTTTTGACTATTCTAGATCCTTTGTATTTCACATAAATTTTACAGTCCTCTGACCTCTTTCTTCATTCAGACTGTGTTGTAGTTTTTTCTGTAGAAGTCTTACAGTCTAATAATTTTCTTCCTAAATATTTTATATTATTGGTGCTATTATAAAAGGAATTGTTTCCTATATTTCATTTTTGAATTGTTTGCTGCTGCTGTATAGTCATATTAATTGTTGTGTATCAACTCTGTATTCTACAACCTTTTAAAATTCACTTATAGTTTTTTCTTTTAATATTCCACGGGGTTTTTTATGCACACAATCCATTGGCATACTATTCACAACAGTTTTATTTCTTTTCTAGTCTTTATGTCTTTACTTTTTCTTGCCTAATTGCACTGACTAGCACCTCTGGTATATTGTCAAATAGAAGTGGGAAGGGTGGATATCCTTGTCTTGTTTCCAGTATTAGAGGAAGTCCAGTGTTTCCCCAGGAAGCCTGGCTTTTAGATTGGCCAGTTAGTCCTCTTTTGGGTTTTAGGAAGTTGCCTTCCATTTCCAGTTTGCTGTACGTTTGAATAGATGTTAAATATTTTCAGATGCCTTTCAGTATCTTTTTAAGTTGTCATATGGTTTTGTCCTTTATTTTGTTAATATTTTGAATGACGTCAGTTGGTTTCTGAATGTGTAATTGGATATGCATTCCTGAGAGAAATCCTACTTAGTCCTGATGTATTATCCTTCTTATGTGCTACTGGACTTGATGTGTTAATGTTTCATTAAGTATTTTAGTATCTCGGGACGCCTGAATGGCTCAGCGGTTGAGTGCCTGCCTTTGGCTCAGGGCATGATCCCAGTTCAGGGATCAAATCCCACATCAGGATCCCTATGAGAAGCCTGCTTCTCCATCTGCCTATGTCTCTGCCTCTCTCTGTGTCTCTCATGAATAAATAAAATCTTTTTTTAAAAAAAGTATTTCTATATCTTCATGAAAAATACTAGATTGGGATTTTTTCTTTTTTTAAATCTTTATCAGGTTTTGGTTATAAGGATTATGCTGACCTTATAAAAATAGTTAAGAAGTTCCTCTTTTGTTATTTTCCAAGAGTATGTATAGGGTGTGTGTGTGTGTGTTTTAAGTTTTTGGTGGAGTTTACCAACGAAGACTTGGGCCTAAAGTTTTTTTTGTGTGTGTGGAATGGTTTTGATTATGGATTCAATTTCTGTAACAGATACAGGATTGTGTAGATTTTTCTGTTTCTTCTTGGATCGCTTCTGGTAATTTGTCTTTTTCAAGGAATACTCCATTTAAAAGAACCAACTTTTTATTGATTTTTTCTCTCTTTTTTCCATTTATTTATTTCCTTGTTCGTATTATTTCATGTTTTGTATTTTAATGTTATTCTTTATCTAGCTTCTTAACGTGAGAACTTAACTTACTGATTTTATGTATTTTCTAATAAAACTAAATTTTTGTTTAGACTGCTTAGCCACATCCCTCATACTTTGATAGGTTGTCTTTTTACTATTGTTCATGACAAGGTATATTCTCATTTCTCCTGTGCTTTCTTCTTTAACTCATGAATTATTTAGAACTTCTTTGATAATTATTGACACTGATTTTATGGCCCAGCATATAGTCTGTCTTGCTAAATGTTCCATGTGTCTTTGAGTGGGTGTAAAATTTCATTATTGTCATCTCAGATTACATTGGTTCCTGGGGCTCAAATCTATATCCTTAGTGATTTCAGGAGGAGAGAGGGGTCTACTTATTCTTTCACCTACTGAGAGAGGTGTTGAAATTTCCAACTGTGGTTGTAAATCCAGTTTTCCATTTAATTATATCAATTTTTGTTTCTTCTATTTTGCATCTCTTTTGATAGATATGTGCTTATTAATGATTGCTCTGTCTTCTTAATGAATTGCCCTTTTCACCAGTATGGAATGTTCCTCTTGATATCCAGTAATGATCTTTTTTGGTGTTTATTTTTCTGATATTAATATTGGTACTCCTGTTTCTTATCTTTGGTGTTTGCATGGTGTATTTTTATTCAGTCTCTTACTGGTAATTTGCCTTTATAAAGTGTTTCTTATAAACAGCATATAGTTGAATCTTGCTATTTTATTCATTCAGACAACCCCTTTCTTTTACAGTTAATCTAAAGAATGCTATAGATAGGTCTGTGTCCCATCTTGGTATTTGTTTTCTATTCTGCTTGGTTTTTGTCCCTCTTTTCTTCTTTTCTGTTGCTTTTTGAATGAATCGTGTAGTATTTAGTCTTTGCTGATATTTTAGCATCTTGTTTATCTTCTCTGTTGATTTTTTTGCTTATGTCTCTTTG